AATTATTAAGTTGATTATTACTATTTTAATCTGCAGGTAGTGTATACCGTGTATATTAAGTCTATAGGTTTGCAATACGCCATTGCCTACCCACAGTACCCACTAATCTTACTTAGATTTTTTTTTCTCCCRCGACTTAATTATTCCTGTTAGGTATATGTTTTTATAATTCCTGCAAAGTTTTTATAGAAACWTGCTTTTCCATAAAGCTCTTAAAATTATTTACTTTATAGTTTCTACATACTTATAATACATCATTATTACCAATTTTAAAYTTTAAAAGAGGTAGGGTTTTTTTYAGGATGAAAAGATGAAACCGAGATTCATTCAGAACATATTGATATAGATGGATAAATACATGCTATAAATTAAAGTCACATTTTAAATTTTAAACCTATCTACATTCTGTAGTTTACTCAAATGGTAGGTATTTTTAATTAAATGTTTGCTTCAAAATAACCTATACAAAAAAACATTAGGTATAAGTATATCATATGTTAACACATAAGTAATTTATTTAGGTATTGTAGTTATTGATAACAATATTTTGACTTGAAGYTATTCAATGTTACTATATTTATAATATTTCATGTTGAATGCAAGTTAATAGGTAGGTACCTCTATATAAAACATTTCGAAAAATTAYTAATTTATTTTRTAAAATCGTTTTCCATATCCTTTAAGTTTGTAAACCTTCGTAAATATTATATTTGTTTCTTTAAAGAACAGAATATTTGTATTATATATTATAATATATATTATTGTTAGCCATTAGGTATATACTTTTATAGGTATAATTTGTTTCTTACATATTCACGTACGCGTTAATGTGGGAAAAGGCAAACAATACTTTCACTGTAAATGATTTTCTATGATTTATGAATTTTTGAATTAGTGACACCTAGATCTTTTATATTGATAAATTATCTAAACCTACTATTCAAACGTTCAAGTTAAACATACAAATCATAGGTACTCTATGTTATACCAACTGTATTTGTATTTTTTGTTTCTTTGTAGCATATAATAATTGTTATTTGTTGATTGTTACAATAATACTATATATATATTTTTTTAGATAGGTACGCCGCRAAATAATGTTGAACGTTTTGATATTATTAATTTTGATTATTTATTACTGATTTACATATATCATAGTTAGTCACTGATAATATTTTAAGTATAATCAGTATAGGTAATAGATTAATAAATAATAATATAATTGTACATAAATAATAAATGTAATGTGATGGCAAACAGATTTGAGTCAGATTCTAGTACCTACTCTACATTCCGATCAAAGTAAATCTGAAGAAATAAGGTGTACYTACATGTTTTTTACTAAACATCCGATTAGTCTTACCTAATTATACAAAACTGATCTGTTTATATGCAAGTATACAAAATTGATTGCGAGAAAATATCTGATTTTGCATGCAGTAAAATTCATTAAGCTCGAAACATCTACTATATTATTTATTTATTTATAATTCATACATGGAAATAAGGTCCAATTAAATTAAAAACTTTAATAGTTACATAATATARATAATTATAGAGTTATACAATTTATAGAGAAATCTCAAATATCGTTTTTGAATAGCTTATAATTATTTGATTAAATCTCTGATTGAGGTAAACTAGCTGTTCTACACTGATTTAATTAACAGAGGGTATTATGTTAGTATTGAAAAATAAACTATAGATATTTTGTTTTTAAGTATAGGTAGGTACGTCTATTCCAAAAACCACGTTTTGAGTGTAATTCAGTTTATACTAAGAATTAAAAAAAAAAAAAATGTACCTGTAGATATTTTATATTATTTATTAATATTATATATTATGGCGATTTCAAGCTTCATCCATCAATAATCTATATAATATACAGCAGTGTATATATATAATATAAATATGTATACGCACGATATATAGACCTATCTATACGAATCTATATYGAATTTATTAATATAATCTATTTCCATTGGGTAATGCAGTTTTTATAYTATAGGCATAAGAAATAAATACACATTATACGCCTATATATTTTATATGAAATAATAATAACAACAACATTAACAACCGTGCGATTGTAAACTGAATACCTATCTAACGGTTTCAAATTGCGCGACCAAAACACCACGCGTGTACACACAACACACGTTAGACTATAACTACGAAATTATATATTATACGTCATTACAGGCACCTCTAGATGTGTGACAGTTTTTCCTGAACGACAATTATTATTTCATACTGTCATTACACATTGTTCGTCTTGTCCACACGATATATATATATATATACAATATACATACATAAATATGTGTACGCTATAAACATACACATTATATACACCTATACAATACCTATATTATGTACTCTGTTGTGTGTTTACTGTTGTCTGCAGTTTTAATATTAATATACGCGTATATAGGACATACCTAATGATATGTTATTCCGATCGGATTCGAAGACATCTGATCTGATTTGACGAGACATGGTGACGGGCATGGGCGGATAGGCCATTTTTGGCCTACCGGAAAATTTTAAAATGGGGCCCCCACATGAAAAGAATTTAATAATACATGATATTAAAGGGCCCCATTACCGAAATACGAAGGGGGGCCCACCGGGAAATGCCCGGATGCCCGGTAGACCTATTAACGCAYGGTGACGGGGTCCGACGAGTGTCTCCGTACGAGTAGGTACCTCTCGGCTCTCGGGAATCGACCCTATAGCGCATGGTTTTCATCGCCCACATCATGTTTGAATCAGGTGGTCCAAACACATATTTTTACTTCTGGGTACCCGCGAGGTTAATAAAAATTAATTTGGCACCCTGAATTATATAATTATTTCTTACTTTGTACTTAACTAACCATTACTTATAGACTCATGGGCTCGAGACTTAAAGCATTTGCTTATTTCTAAAGATTGACTTAAAATGTAGCATGGTGCTATGGAATTGTATGTCATGTTATAGGTAATACGTTTAATTATGAAGTTTGAAAGTGCTTTTTTTTGCTTGTTTCAGCGATTTTTCAAAAAAAAAAAAAATGCTTATTTCCAGTTTTTCTGATTATTTTTGCTTATATTTGACCAGTATTTCTACGTTTTTATAATGTTTTAAACTATTATAAATATCGTTTACATTTCATTTTTCAGAAAATCCATCAAATCCTTAAAGTCTCGAAAGCGAAGTTTAATTTATTTTATAATATAAAGATAAAGACTTATTTTTATTTTGTTTGATTTTTTAGTTTTTYGTTTTTTGATAAATATTTTTTGCAAAAATTTAAGTTTTTTAAATGCTTATTTGAGTRCTTATAATGATGTTTTTAAGAGCTTTTTTAAGCGCTTATTTTAATGATTTTAAGTGCTATAAGTCTCGAGCCCTGCAGTTATAGTTAACTATTATTACTAAAAATTAGATTATTTTGTTTATTTAGTTTTTTTTTTCTAATAGAAATAATGTCGATGTGTCCTAACTTCTTATTAACACAAACTTTGTTCGGGGCGAATAACTGTTTGCTGTCACAGTCACGCGCCCACCCTCAATATCCAATATTGTCAGCGGGCCGTGACCACCGCGTCACCATAGGCGCAAATAGATAAATTATTTTGGCGGGACTAAAGCCCCTCCTATAATATTTTCTAAAAATTATATATGCTCAGTACTAATTACTGACTTTTTAACTGGGGGGACCAAGTCCCCCCAAGCCCCCACCTATTTGCGCCAATGCGCGTCACCGACTTCAGAGGTATAAATGCCATATACATATTATACAATAATCTGTCTCGTACGTTAGGAATGTTAGGATTTATAATAGGAAGTGTTTATTACCGCTTGCAGGTGCAGTTTTTAGTGGCCTACATTATTTATCTATATGGCTGTATAATGCTGTAGTGTAGTATTAATTCGACGATAGCGTTTTTCTTCTTTATATCTTTTCTCTCCTATTCGTTATAGTGCCTTGGTGGAGTATATGTACGGCTATCACAGACCGACAGACCGAACAGTCGATACGGACGTGTAGGAGAGAAAATAATGCTCGTGTTTGTAAATAAGAATGAAAAGAGACATTTCCATCGGAGCCGATAACTGGGCTGGAACTAATTCCTTCGCGTTTATTTCGTTCCATACTAGCTATATATATACAATATATTTATTATCGTAGCTATATATACATTTCGTACACGCACGCTGTCAATGTTGCTGTGATGAAGAAGAATATAATAGTACGTATGCAATATAACGTGATGTATGCGTAAGTGTGTAGGGATACTTTGAAGAGGAAAAAGAGCCAATTATATTATAGACGAGCTCGCAGCGGAACTGCCGCCATATACCTACCTAAATAGTTGCTGACGGTTTTTTCGTGAACAAAAGTAAAAAAAAACTAGGTATGGAATATAAAAGCGTAATACAAAAAATGTCAAAAAAAAAAAAATAATAATAATAGTAATAAATGAATAACTTCATCATGAATATTTATGTATACCTATTTGGAATTATCTATATTATTATGCTATTATTTTTTTTTTCGTCGATGTTCGGTGACGGTGAAAAGCTGTTTAAAATTGCGTTCCGTGTTTGGTATATTTGGTATTTTATATGTATAAATATACACAACTGTTTGGTAGTTTAAGAAAATATTGTCGATGCATCTCTAAATGTTACCACAAATATCCAGACCTAAGTAAATTATATATTACTGTAATACTGCGTAGTGTGATATAATATTTTTTCAATAAGCAGTTGTAATTGTATTGTCTAATTTGGGAAAGCGTCTTAAATTTATATCTTGCTGCTGTGATAATTGGAGACAATCTATTCTATACATATTAGGGGTACTCTAACTATAGCTGGATTGAAATTAATTGCGATMATTTATTTTCGTAATATTATTTGGATCAATGAAAACWTGACAGTGGAATATATTTTGAATTATTCTACTAGGTGTTTAATATTGAGTACACATTTTTGAAATTTTACTACAGAATAAAATAAAACAAATCTTTCTTAGTTCACACTATTGGAAAATATTAATAGTATTATAGGTTGATAGTGTTAGCCTGTATACAGATGACAGATCTATATCTATATTACTCGAGTAGAGAATATGCTACCTAACYTTAAATAATATAATATATTTATTATTTACCTAATTCATAATTTGATACRTTTCTATTCGTGTTATATRAATATAATTATCTATCAATTATAATATTATATTCTAATGGATAAACAAATAGTGATTGAATATATTTTAGCGTTACTAGTGTTACTACCCAATTCATATTTTGTTATGCTTATTGTATATAATAGCTTTATTATAAAGTTTTAATTTTTAGTTGGTACCAGTTCGAATTATACAGAAATTATATTGGGACCATATAAGCTATGATTTATGTTCACTGTAGGTTTTATATTTGTATATTTATGTATATTAGGTACACTAATAACRACATATTAAAAATAAATATGTAGGTAGCAAGTACCCATACTATTTAGTATTTATTTTTAAAGAACTTATAAATGTTATCTATTTTTGTGGTTGGTTTGTCCTATAATATGTAAGTCCGTTTCATTTTTTTTTTCATYAAATATATTTTTAAACACGCGCTAACCACAGAATTATTATTTTCATTTGTTAAAAGTATAATAATATATTATATACTAACATCGGTTTGAAAACATTTATATATAGGTTTGTCATCGTGACATGAAGATTATTATTGTTGTACTAACGGTTGTTCTTCAGGTGCTGCAGGTATAATATGTTTGTAACTATAATATACAGCCGATACCTATTGGTATGTTTATATTTTTTTGTGACTAACTATAACAGGTGTAAATAAAAAAAAAATTTAAAACTGTACCGTACGGTTATATAGGTTATACTTATACATAGGCGCGAAGAAAACTTTTTCAAATTGCACTTTTATTAATTTTTTTTTTTTTAAATTCTAGTCAAAGTCAGTAAAAAATCGATTTGAATAAAATTACTTACCATTTTATTGTCGTAGACCTGCACGGGATAGTTGGCCTGTTGACGAGGTCGATCCATCTGAGATGGAGCTTGTTGCACCAACCACTTTTGTACAAGTTTCTGTTTGCTTCCGACGCTTGAACTGCAACACGATGAACTCCTATGTCTTGAATTCGACCAYGATGTTTGTTGTTCGCCGGCTACAACCAAYCTAACGATTCGGTAGAAACGGAATGCGGCCAACATTGTGGTCAGACATTGTACGGACGTAGCCAGTAGTAACCCTAAATTCGCCAGCACGGGGGCCCAATTTGTCTGTAACTGATCCGCTGTTAAAGTTTTGTAATGCGTCTGCAACAAACAAATATAATTGGTTTCGATCAAGGATTCTCAATCTTTTTCGTCCACAGAGCGTTTAAGCCCGGCAACTTGTATCTAATTCAACTTTTTTCACTGTATGATACAAAACACACTGTTGTATTGTTGCCTGTTAGTTTTTGTATACACATAGGTACCTACGTTAATAATAATGTAACAACTTTAAACTTTAAATATTGTTATTCCAGACGTTATGGTCCAAGTGATATTGCACATAAATCATGGTTTGATCGAATTGACGCGACTCGGATGCGTTAACTAATGTTTTGTCACACTCTCACACTTCTAAATATTGCAAAGTACACGCGTACAAGTCTTAGCATAATTTTAGTTTGAACCTAACCTTGTCTTTTGGAATGATGTAATATGGCTTCTGAGAGTCCTTCAATAGTCCAATAGCTGTAAGTATGATGGCCAGATTACTGACACCCACGGACACTAAACAAAGAGCTAGATATATTGTAATAGACAGTGGAGACAGTGTCCTATCGGGAGAAAGACATCCGTTTAAACTGGCCATCAGTCCAACTACTCCGTTGCCCATGGCCATCGCACCGCTCCAAAGGCCGGCGCCTACACTGGACAAGGATGCCTCGTGTAACATCGATAGCACGCCAAAAACGACCATCAGACATCCGGTAACTACTTGCATCAATCCGATCAGGCTGATGTATTGAATCTAAAACCAATAATTATGTTTAGATAGTTTATAGTTGATAAACGATTGTCATTCAAATCGTTAAATTATGAAGTATACAATTTTTTATTTTATTTTTAAATTTAATGTTTAATAGAATATTGTTATCTTTTATTAATTAACGTTTTGAGTGAATAGATATGATAATAATAAATACATAGGACCTACTTTAAAACCGCATAGGTATATTTAAATAATAACTGCTAGTTGTATGTATGAGATAATTATGTATGACATGCATTTGAAAAAAAATTATATTTATATACCATGAAGATAACATATTATTCAACGGTTTTATTCTGTTTTTAAAAATTAATACAATAAAATATGATACCGGTTACGACTGTTACGAGAATTTTGATTGTATTTTTGTATATTTTGTTTGTTACATTAAAGTAAGTACTGTAGTACCTACTACATACTACCTATAGCTATAGTGTCTTTAATTTTTGTAATATATAATAATCTAGTTTGAACATTGTATTAAATAAAGTTATTAGGCGCCTATTGCCTATAGCCGCCTAGGTGGGTACATCGTACATTGTATGTTTGACAAGATTTTTTTAATTTTAATTAGGTAGGTACCTACATAATTTGTTATTTTGTTATAAATAATTTATCCAAATATAATAAGTATGTGGGATACTGTTTTCAGTGTTTTTTATATTGTAACTAATAAACAATTCTAACGATTTATATTTGTAAGTTCTTAAGCATAATTTATCTATATGTTAAAAACTAGGTATAATATTATGTTTTACATCGAATTTTTTTTTTCAAATTTTTTTAGTATGACGAATGACAACTGTGTAATAAACTAATAACTAATAATTTAATAATTGAATTAAGAATAGAAATTCTATTATTTATTATCTATTATAAATATATAAACTAAGAAAGAAAAATGAATTTTAATATACATTTAGTTAAAAAGTTTAATAATTATAACTTTGTGTTATTTTAAAATGTCACCTGCATTGTTTTTCATTTCGTCCTACAATGTAAATTGAATGGATTAAAATAATAATAATTTAATTGTTTTCGTATTGTCTATGGTGTTGACCTAAAATCGTTTCCAAACAATGACAGGTACAGATAACTGATCATTATTTATATGTATATTTTTTTAGAAAAAAAGTATTCGATTATTCTATTAATTTATTTTAGTTTAGTACTATACTGAATTGTTTTACTTACATTTTATATAAATTAATTAACTAAATGTAGGTTCGTACTTGATCGGAATGGTGACGAAGTTTACAGGCATCAACTGGTTTCTGGGGCGTCTTGACTACGAAATCGGCTTCGGACGGGTAGTATGAGGGAGTCGAAGCTCCCATTTTCCTGGACATATTGTCACTGAACCATGTGTTCACCGCTACTATAAGATATAAGAGAAACAGTAATGCGTGTCTTCTTCTTTGGGTGTTACCCCTTCCSGAATGCACGCGCAGCGCGTCCGACCGCGTATAGATTGTAGCAACGATTATACTGAAGACGCAACGGCGCTACCAGACGWACTTCCGTCGTCTTTGCAATAATAATTATTTATCTGTTTCAATGAGCGTGAAAATAACAATTTCCCAATACGGTATCATTGATGGTTTACGTTCCAGCCTGCAAAGCTAATCAGTCACCCAAATTGTGTAATCATAATTCAAGACCCAAGACATAATTTTATAGTATTAAACTATTAAATATTTAATATCAACTAGGTGTCGAAGTACCTGTATAATATTCAAAATAAATATTTATCAAGACGTTATCATTAAGTATCGCAGTCTTTACTATCTTGTCTATTATACAAATTAGTGGTGGCCAAAACTTTTTTACTAGACTCCCAAATTCATTTTTAGTACACCACTCATGAACCACCTAAAAGATTGTCTGTCCTCACTTAAAATTTGAAGAATGCTTTGCATCTCCCTTTAATATAGCTCTTGAGTTTCTCTTTTAGTATCAATCCTAGAATAAACAACTTGTATCAGTCTAATTAAAATTAAAATATATGTTAATAAGTATCTAAACGTAACAGCCTGCGTAGCTAGTATTAAATGCATATATAAAATTTTATTATCATCAATTTTATTTTTTATATAGATTGATTCGTCTAAAACGGTATTTATAGGTGCGCAGAAATAAGMTATTATTTGTATAACAACAATAATAATATTATTAAATAAATTGTYGTGTCTTCTATCACCACAGCCAATCAGAAATTACCATGTACCTTCTTTAAATTAATTATTGGAAAATAGAAATAATACAATAGCCAACAATAAATTATTGGATACTAACTATAAAGATACCTATTGTATTTTACTTTTTGAGACTGTATTTATGATTTTTAAGCATAAAATGCAAAAATGTATGTTATACTATAATATTAAATAAATATCTAAACWTAAAAATTATCTAGATAAATTAATAAAGATGACTAAATTTTTCATCTAAAATAAAAAAAAGATGACCAACATATTTTAATCTAGATAAGATAATAGATGATGAAATTTACATTTTATTAATAACTATAATAAGTGATAACTATTATTACCTACGTGGCTATGTATTATTATAACTCAGTGAAGCAAACAGTTTTCTATACCCATGGTATTGTTTTATATACATCTACTCAATTTTTATCAATTGTTAATAACTGTTTAATTTTGCAGACATAATTATTTGGATGTATTTGGATACCTTTCCGGATAAGGGAGTAGGGTATGAGACATTGTGACACCCAGCCACCTAATACAATTTATATTTATAATTTCCTAAATCTTGGCGGTGTTCTTTTTTAAAAATGTTAACGTACGCGAAACACAGGGTAATTAGTAATTACTATGCATTTTCGACCTTCCCTTATATCTTTTACTAATGCATTTTTAAAATTCTGATTTTAGGAATTTGTATACTTTAAGATCATATTTTTAAATACTTAGACTTTTAAACAATTAAAATGCTTGTGGAATCACAAACTTAAATTTTTTTCAAAAAAGTACCACCCTTCTTCATGTGAATTACGAAAAGCATGATTTTTTTAAACATTTTGATGGATTAATAAAGATTTTTCCAGCAGGAATAATARACTAGGTAGTAGAAGATAGTACCTACAATATCTGTTTGTAATCTAGTCCACTATAGTTATTAAAATGGCTACCATTGAATTGGCTCCCAATTTTGGGTAAATATAAATTCGAACCTTGAATTGGCTCCTGAAAAATGTATATTTAAATTGGCTCCTTAAATTGTTAAATATTATTTTTTAACCAGGGATTCTCATATTATAGGCGTTTACTTTTACGATGTAAAATCCAAA